CAGCCAGAGGCGTGCAGTTTAGGGTGGGGTAGATGGGTTTAAGATGAGATTGCCTTCTAGTTTGTATAGTTTCTTTTTGTACATTTAAATATCTGAGCCATTTGAAACTTATGCAAATGGATCCATTTTCATCTTACTTTACATATAACCCAATAGCACTTATTAAAATAGGCCCTAACCCGTGTGCTCAGTGTTTAGAGTGTTGGTCTGAGCACTGAAGAGTTGTGGGTTTGATTCTCCAAACAAGGGCACATCCCTGGGTTGCAGGTGTGTGTGTGTGTGTGTGTGTGTGTGTGTGTGTGTGTATGTGTGTGTGTGTGTTTTCGGGGCGGGGAGGGTGTGTGTGTGTGTGTGTATAATTTAGTCTGGGCTATATTTTTTCATGTAGAGTTGCTCTCATCAGCTCTATCTTAAACATCAGGCCCCTGGGATGTGAGCACCTTGGACCCAGCATTAAGCCCTGAGTCAGGAATTACAACAACTTGAAGAGTCCAGGGTAGAAAGGGGGGCTTGAGGTCATGCTTCTGGTCTCACAACTGAATGGCACTAAGTAAGTCCTAATGATCTGAATCCTGGAGAAAGCAGAGTGAGGTGGGAGGTCCGGGGGGGTGAGAGGATCTGGGTCCCAAGGGCCAGCTAGGCCACACTCAGCTCTTTGCCCTTGTGCATGAGGTAGAGATGGAAGTGGAAAACGCTGCCATGGGCTGCATGCCTCAGGGACCAGCTATAACAGACTTGGGCAGTGTCTAGTCTGAAAATGGAAAGCAGAGGTCAGTGAAATGAACTGGCCCCCAAAAACCAGCACTCAGCTCATCTCACTCAGCATCTGGTCCACAGTATAGAGTCCCCCAGAGGACTCAGTCCAGGGTTCCATTCTCCAACCAACAGGGCATCCAGAATTACATTTCCTTCTCCCTTGATCATTATATTAGAAGATACAAAAGTCTAAACCCACTGCCCGCACATCCATGGTCTCCCAGCGCAGCTTGGGCACGAGGGTATAACGAGCCAGCATGGCAGCCACCACTACTAATGAGTAGTCCACACTGGTCACAGGAGCTCCCAGGATACTGCTTGTAAGTCAGGGCGCTGTTCCCACAGCCTAACATGATATGGTCCTCCCGCCATGGCTCTAGGAGGGCATGGAAAGAAGTCCCCAAACCACCTGTAGGAGCACTGGTCTCAGTACCCGCAGTTTTGGTAACCCTAGGGAGGCGGGGGGCGGGGGGGGGGGGGGGCGCAGAACGGGGATTCCAGTGGGGGCACGTGCTAGAGACAACCAATCAACATGTTTCTCATCTCTTCCTCTCCAACAGGTTTTCCACTCAAAATCAATGGGGGCCAAAATGGTTTTGGCTCAGTGGTAGACCATCGGCCTGCGGACTGAAGGGTCCTGGGTTCGATTCCAGTCTAGGGCATGTGCCTTGGTTGCGGGCATATCCCCAGTAGGGGGTGTGCAAGAGGCAGCTGATGGATGACTCTCTCTCATCAATGTTTCTAACTCTCTATCTCTCTCCCTTCCTCTCTGTACAAAATCAATAAAATATATTTTTTTAAAATAAATAAATAAAATAAAAATTTGAGACCCTACATTATCTTAGTGTGAAATAAATAACTCTGGCTGGGTAGCTCAGTTGGTTAGAGCATTGTCCAGATAGAGTAAGGTTGATTGGACTTCATAAAACAGATGTGACAGAATGACACCTTAGCATCACAAAGAGGACAACCAGATATGCTGATGAAATACATTGCAACAGCATTACCTATAAAGTATTCTTTCACCCAATTAAACCTAAATCAAGTCAAGCAGCTGTTACTACAATCCTATCTAATAAAAGAGTAATATGCAAATTAACCATCACTCTGCTACACCCATGAGCCATACCCATCAGCCAATCAAGAGCAAATATACAAAAACCCAACCAAGATGGCTACAGCCACAGAGAGCAGGAGGGAAGCTTGGGTTTCCCAGGCAATGGAGGAAGCCAAGCTTTCTACCTGCCCTTACTGGTCTAGGCCTCTGCTCAAGGCTACAAAGTTTCCCATTATAGAAGATACATAAATCTAAACAGAAATGGCGACAGCCATGGAACTGGAAAGAGCAGGAGGCTAGGGTTGCCCCAAGCAATAGAGGAAGCCAAGTTTTCCACATACCCTGGCCAGCCCAGGCCTCTGCTTAAGACTATAAAATTTCAATTATAGAAGGTAAACAAATCCCAACAGAAATGGCTGCCACCACGGAGCAAGCAGAAGGCTTGGCTCCACTCCAGGCTACAAAGTTTCAATTGTAAAAGATAAATAAATCCATGATATCAGGGCCTCTGCTTGGGTAGCCAAGGGGCGTGGCTGACCTGCAAACCCCAGGTTGCCCCACGCCCCAAGGAAACCCCCACTCTAATCTGGGACACCCTTCAGGGCAAACCAGCTGGCCCCCACCCATGTACCAGGCCTCTATCCTATCTAATAAAAGAGTAATATGCAGATTTACCATCATTCCAACACACAAAAATGGCTGCTCCCATGTGGTCAAAGATGGCTGCCCCCATGTGGACACAAGATGGCCAGCAGGGGAGGGCAGTTAGGAGGGACCAGGCCTGCAATGGAGGGCAGTTGAGGGCAATCAAGCCTGCAGGGGAGGGCAGTTAGGGGTGACCAAGCCAGCAGAGGAGGGAAGTTGGGGGCAACCAGGCCTGGAAGGGAGAGCAATTGAGGGGGGACCTGGCCTGCAGGGGAGGGCAATTAGTGGTGACCAGGCCTACAGTGGAAGGCACTTAGGGGCAAAAAGACTGGCAGGGGAGCAGTTAGGCATCAATCAGCTGGCAGGGAAGTGGTTAGGGGATGATCAGGCTGGCAAGCAGAAGCAGTTAGGGGCAATCAGGAAGGCAGGCAGGTGAGCAGTTGGGAGCCAGCAGACCCAGATTATGATGTACCAGATTGGAGAGGGTGCAGGCTGAGGGGCACGCATGCATACATGCGCATACACACACACACACACACACACACACACACACGAACAAATTTTGTGCACTGGACCTCTAGTATGTAAAAAAAGGAGAAGAGGGGTGTGAGGAACAAGTGCAAAATGTATTGTGAATAGTTAAATCCAAAAGGTGGCACATTCTGTAGGACAACTGATCCAATTTCTTCAACAAATAGAAGGCCAAAAGTGGGTAGGGGAGAGAAAAAGGGGAAGAAGGAAGAAAGAAGCAGGGAGAAGGAAATATATAGCTTTAAAAAGGGTTTTAAAGCTGGAATAATTATAGCAACAAAATAAAGTATTATTGTCCTCCAATCCAAAGTATAACAGGTATGAGTCCATAATGATATTTAAAAATGAAAGGACAGATAGTAGGCAGATCCCATATGCGGAAGAATTCCAAATAACTTATGCAGATATTCCACTCTTGAGATGGAGCTTAACTCCCACCTTGAAGTGTGAACTAGGAATGAATAATGACTTCCTTTCAAAGAGCATGGAAAGAATTGGGTTTTTGTTTAAAGTAACTTTATAGTGGACTACATTAGCCAAGAGATCAAAGCCAACATGTACAGCGGTCACAGTCATGTTTGATAGTGTTTATCATATGATGAGAATTGCACTTTACTTCTGTGGTCTTTTCTAACAAACAAACAAAAAAACAAACCCAGTCTAATGATAAAAAAAAAAAAAATCAGATAAATCTCAAATGAGGAAGATTCTACAAAAATACCCATCAAAACTACTGAAGTCATGAAAAACAAAGAAAATGTGAGAAATTCTCAAACAGAGAAGCTGAAGGAAACATAAATGTAAGCTGGTATCCTGGTAAGAATGCTCAAAAAGAAAAGAGATTAAACACTAAGGTAACCTGAATAAAATATGAACTCTCTAGTTAATAACAATGTTTTTAAAAGGCTACCTATTCTTATGACATCTCTAACACAGAAACAAAAGCCAGAATTTTAACAAAACATTCATTTGTGCTGACTCAGACTGAAACTTCAAGAATCCAATGTAGCCAATAAAATTATTCTGAAAAAAAAAAAAAAGAAAGAAAGAAAGACCAAGTGCGGTATATGGGTCTTATCTGGATCCCGATTTTATAAAGACATTTTTAGGCATTGAACTTTGAACACAGTCGGGTGTTAGATGATACTTAGAAATTAGTTTTCTTTGGTTTGAAAATGTTTAATAGCCCTTACCTGTTAGAAAAACATCATGAAGTAGGAATCGACAAATGGCTGGAATTTAATATATTCCAGCAAAAAAATAAATAAGAGAAGTATAGATGAAATAAGAGGGTAGAATGTTAGTAATTGTAGAGAGGTATAGTATTCCTCTATTGTTGCATATTTTTTAAAATATTCCTAATAAAGCATTTTGAGGATTACCAAAACCGGAGCGGTCAGCTGTCTCAAGAAAGGACACAGACCTAACCTACACACGTGACCTTCTGAGTGGACGCTCTGGACGACTGTACTTTCGTCCCATTTCCGCAGATAAAAGCCTCCAGCTGTCATGTCCTCCGGCAAGCGCCTCCTCTGAGCTTCCCACAGCACGTCCCTAGAGTTTCAGGGCGTACTGTCTGGTACCTTGTCCGTCTGCCCCAGATGGGGAGCCCACGGTCCCAGCGGTCTCCAGCCTCGCCCAGCCCTGGGCTGACGCGCACTTGGATGGGTTGTACAACTTCCGGAACGGGCCTCCGCACTTCCCCTAGCTCTCAAAGGTTCTCTTTCCACTTTCGGGACGGGCCAACCACTTCAGAGCGCTCTCCTTTGGCCCTTCCATTGGTTCGATTTCCCAGCATTCCGATTGGCCTATATTCTTCCTTGGGTGGGCCCTCCGGGTGTGGCCAGATTCTCATTGGCCTCCGCTCTGACAGGCGTATGATGTCACGCACCAGCGCCCATCGCTTTCGCTTACAGGTCATCAGCGGGCGCCCTACGCGGACCAACCCCGAGAGTAGACAGCGGAACCGGAGGAGGCCCGGGTGGGAGCGGCGACAGCGAAGGCAGGAGCGATGGCTGGAGCGGGGCCGCTCCCGGGACTCCCGGGTGCAGGAGGACCCGTGGTCCCGGGCCCTGGCGCCAGCATTCCGGGCAAGAGCGGCGAAGAACGTCTGAAGGAGATGGAGGCGGAGATGGCTCTGTAAGGCCTGCGACAGGACGGGATAAAAAACGTCCCAGAGCCAGGGCCGCCAAACCCTGGAGCTTCCAGGCCGCGATAGGGCCGACGTATGGCTTTATCATGGAGAAATGGAACCTTGAGATTGTGGGAGCGGGAGTAAGGAGATGTTGGTAGGGATGAAGGCGCTGGCTCGATATAGCTAAAGTTCCAGAATTGGTGCAAGGCCCTGAGCTTTGGTGTCCTGTTCCCCCAGGTTTGAGCAGGAAGTTCTGGGAGCTCCGATAACCGGAATCCCAACTGCCATGCCTGCAGTGCCTACGGTCCCCACAGTAGAAGCAATGCAGGTCCCAACAGCTCCTGTGATCCGCCCGATTATCGCGACCAACACATACCAGCAGGTACGTCTGAACTAAGGCATCTAAGTTAGAGAGCACAATGCCTGGAACACAGTGTTTGTGTACAGAGCACTAATGACATGTTGGTTTGTTGATTGATTTGCATGACAAATGTTTATGTGCCAGGCACTGAGGACACAGTAATGATTATGGCAAACAATATTTTTGCCCTTTGAGAGTTTATATTCTAGAGCATGTTGTTTAGTAGTACTTTATGCAATGATGTAAATGTTCATATCTATTTAAAATATATATTTCAGTCAAATAGTGTCTGAATCTCATTAGTCATATTCCAGTGCTCAATAGCTAGCTATGTATGACTAGTGGAAAGAGAAACTAAACAGAAAACAATTAAATGAAACTTGTTCATTCTGTCAACAAATAACTATTGGATGCCTTATTTGCACCAGGCACTATTCTATGAATTAGGCATGTATAGAGAAAAATCATAGAACAATAATCACTATCTTTTGGAGTTTAAATTTTACTTGGGAGAGACAGGTCAAAGTATAGTCGGACAGGTTTATCAGCACAGGCAGGGAAGGCCTTTTTGAGGGTGTGACATTTAAGCAAATATATAAAAGGCATGATGGAGGGAACCATGCAGATATCTGAGCCATGAAGCAGGTGTGTACCTGACATGTTCAAGGAATAGCCGGGAGAAGAGTGTGGCTGGAGTGGAGTGAGCAGGGCTTTGTGGGTCACCATAAGGACCTTGGTTTTCACTCTGAGGTGGGAAAGCACTGAGGGATTTTGAGCAGAGGAGTAATATGGTCCAACTTAAAGGTTAATAGGGTAGTTCTGGCTATGTTTAGAGAAAGAGTGTAGGGAGGCAAAGGTAGAATCAAAGAAATTGAGGAAGAGGCTATTATAATGATGAAGGCAAGAGAGATAGGGAGGACAGGATAGACATAATTTCAGATAGTGCTGAGTGCTATGGGGCAGATGAAGTAGCCTGATAGTGAGAGAAGTTGCTGCTAAGGATGGGCTAAGGACAACTTTAGCTAGTGTGATCCCAAAAGCCTCTCTGAAAAATTCCATTTTAAGCCCTAAAGGTTGACAGATAGCCAGCCCCACACAGTGCAAAAATTGGAACTCTTGGCCTCCCAAGGTGCACCAGCCAGGGCAGTTTGGAAGCACTGAGTCAGGCCCCTTACCTCAATCTCCTTCCCAACAGGTCCAACAAACTCTGGAGGCCCGGGCAGCTGCTGCAGCCACAGTGGTTTCTCCCATGGTGGGTGGCTCTCCTTTTGTGGGTCCAGGTAAGTAAGGAGTAGTGGTGTGAGGGAGCTAGGGGTTTGAGTAGGGTGGTAAGAAGGGATGCCCAGAACTCTCTTCCCACCATTCTTGTCTCTTCTCTCTCAACAGTTGGCTTTGGCCCTGGTGATCGGAGTCACCTGGAAAGTCCAGAGGCTCGAGAAGCGATGTTTTTGAGACGAGCAGGTAGGTCTGAGGCCAGGAAACCCACATTTAACTAAGCAGTCTTATTTCAACTACTTCATCCTCCTGCTTGATTCATTGCTCTAACTTACCCTGTTCATTTCATCCCCACCCTGATGTTGTCATCTTTCTATGATTATGTATTTCAGGTTATTTTGGCCTTAATAAGGCTTAATTTGGTCATTGTAAACCAACCTCCTTTGTCATTCCTAATCCCTACCCTCTACTCTCTTTCTTCATAGCATTTAACACCTTAGAACAAGCTATACCATTTATTACTTTTTGCTTTCTCTAAATTTAAGCTCCATGAGGGGCAGAAGTCTTGGTGTTTGCCAAGTAGTAAGCATTACATGCTAATAGTTATTGATGAGATGAACAAGCACCAAGCTGTTCACCTGCCAGTCAAGACCCTATATCAGCTGGCTCCTGGCAGAGAGAGATTCCCCACTTCCTTAAACTTTGCTGGGATGTGCCAACAATGCTCATGTTGAAGTTCTCTCTTCTACCCACTGTCACCAACTGTAACCTTCTAAAACCTATGAACTAAACCAAAATCAAACTAACCAAAGGCAATTAACATCTATCCTCTCCACAGGCCATCTTACTTTTTGTTGTAGAGGTGAATTTTATACACTTCGGCAATTTTTGTGATATTACTTCCTTATGAAAATGATATGGTACAATCTCTATTAGATCAAACATGTTAAATCCTATTGTACTTTTTAAGATTCTGGTATTGAGAAGTTTTAGCATCTCTTACTCTTAGTATGGTTTTGATCAAAATGCAAATCAGATCTAGTCACTCTGTCCAGCTTCCAACTCTGCTGTGACTCCTTGGTGCTCTCAAGAGGATATTCATGGCTCAGCCAATAAAGCTATGCTTGGATGCCTACTGACCTCCTGACCATTTTCTTATGATGTTCTCCAACCCTGACTTCCTCCTTTATAATTATACTAAACTGAAAGGGGGAAAGGATTTTGTTTATAAATGTTCTCCTTTGCCAGTACTTTTTCCATTTGTCTTCTGCCTAATGCTTCATTCTCTTTTGGGTTTCATCTCCCAGGACCCATTCTTTAAGAAACCTTCTCTAGCCCCACTACATAAGTCAGAGAGCTCCCACTACTCCCTGGCCTCCCCCTCCTAGCCCCAATCATTGTGCCTGGACTTTCCCCCACCCCAGCCCTAATCACTCTGGGCTGTCACCTTCTGGTAATGGGTTAATTCCCTCCTACTCTAGACCAGGAGTTCCCTAAGAGCCTCGGTCTTTTGGTGTGTCCCTGCTGTTGCCTTAAAGAGGAGGAGGCACAGAGGAGATCCTCAAATCCTAAATTTCTGCTGAATGAACAAATGAAAGGACCTGCATCTCCCCACTCTTCTTCAGGAATTTTTGGATGATGAGAGTACCACCACCCACACACACACCTTGCCCCAAGTGCCCTGGTCCCCCATGACACACACCCCCATCTCTCTTTCCCGCAGCTGTGGCCCCCCAGAGGGCCCCTATCCTGCGTCCGGCCTTCGTCCCCCATGTGCTTCAGAGAGCAGGTGAGGGGCAAGGGTCATCATCCATGCCACATAAACCCCCCCGCCCCAAGCCCTCTAACTCTCTTACTAACACCCTGACAGATTCTGCTCTTTCTTCTGCAGCAGGTGGCCCTCGCCCTATGGCGCTGCGGCCCCCTCACCAGGCCCTCGTGGGCCCCCCTCTATCTGGCCCCCCTGGACCACCTATGATGCTACCACCGATGGCTCGGGCCCAGGGCCCTCCCCTGGGCTCCATGGCTGCTCTGAGGCCTCCCCTGGTAAGTGTGGACAGGTTGCTGATGGTCAGAAGTACGGTGGATGGAGAGATCCTTGATCCTGGCTTGATGGACTGTGTCTAAGTCTGCATTTTCCCTGGCTTTTCATCTCTGCCTTCTCATTCTCTGCCTTTCCTTATATTTCTGTGGTCAAATCTCTGTTTTTCTTTGAGAAAACTGTAGAGAGAAACAATGCTGTGGTATATTTCTATATCTCAATTTTTCCTCTGATTGGCCCTCTCTGTTTTTCTGTCTTGGTATCTTTCTTTGTCCTTGGGTCTGTTTGTATGTGTGTATCTCTGTGTGTCTCTGTGTCTGTTTCTGACGAGACTCCTTTCTCTGTCTCCATATTTCTTGCCTGCTCCCTGACCTCCAGGCCCTTGCTTTGTTATACAGGATTAGAATGGGAGTAAAGTCTGAGCCTTGAGCTGACCCTCTCATTCACTTCCCTTGCCCACAGGAAGAGCCAGCAACATCCCGAGAGCTGGGCCTAGGCCTGGGGTTGGGCCTTAAAGAAAAGGAGGAGTCAGTGGTGGCAGCAGCAACTGGGCTGGAGGATGCTGGTGCAGCAGTAGCTGTGGGAGCAGGAGGCACCCCAACTGGCCCTGCCGTCATTGGACCCACCCTACCACTGGCCCTGGCCATGCCTTTGCCTGAGCCTGAGCCCTTGCCCCTCCCTCTGGAAGTTGTGCGAGGCCTGCTGCCCCCACTACGCATTCCTGAGCTCCTGTCCTTGCGTCCACGGCCCCGGCCCCCGAGGGCTGAGCCACCCCCTGGCCTCATGGCTCTTGAGGTAAGTAAGGAGCACCACAGAGGGGGGATAGAAAGGACTGAGGGGCAGACATGAGCCCATGGGCTTTCATACACAGAAACTCATGTAGTCTTCTATTGATGGAAGTAGGAAGAGCCTATGACTGTAGTCGACAAACTGCGGCTCGCGAGCCACATGTGGCTCTTTGGCCCCTTGAGTGGCCTCTTCCACAAAATACCACCGCCTGGGCAAGTCTATTTTGAAGAAGTGGCATTAGAAGAAGTTTAAATTTAAAAAATTTGCCTCTCAAAAGAAATTTCAGTTGTTGTACTGTTGATATTTGGCTCTGTTGACTAATGAGTTGGCCGACCACTGGCCTAGACATTGGAGGGACTGGAAAAATGGGGAGAGGGTGACAAACACATACCCCACACCCAGGTCCATATCCTTTAACTGTGGAGGCAGAAGGGCAAAGAAAAGTCGGAGCAGAGCAAAGGAAGAGGGGAGTGGGGGCAGATGGGTCCAAAAGACTCCAACACCAAGCCTTTGCTCCTCTTTCTTCTGCAGGTCCCAGAGCCATTGGGTGAGGACAAGAAGAAAGGAAAGCCAGAGAAATTAAAACGATGCATTCGCACAGCAGCTGGAAGCAGCTGGGAAGATCCCAGCTTGCTGGAGTGGGATGCAGGTAAGTGAGCCAAAGTTCAGGGTCAGGCATTGCTGAGCCAAAGTTAGACCAAGCTCTCTTCCTTAAGACAGAAAGAGGGAAGATGAACCAGGTAACTTCACAACTGCCTCCTCTTTGTAGGGCAGGCATGGAGGACTAGGCTGCGGATCTGAGAGGCAGGCCCTCATCCAGCCACAGAGCAGAACTTGATAGAGGTGATTGGCTCTGAGGACCTTCTGGCCTGTTTTATTCCTGAGGGACCTTGGCTTGAAAACATTTTTTTTCTCCCAACTTCTTATGAAAAATATTAAATATTGAATTGCACAGTGAACAGCGATATATATTAAGCAACTATTTTGCTATATTTATTTTATCTCTCTGTATGTATGTGTGCTTTTTGGGTTATTGCTCAATTATTGAAGCAAATTATAGATTAAGTTATCACTTAACTCCTAAATATCTCAGTGTTCACCTAAGAAAAGTGACATTCTCTTTCATGTCATCATACCATTAACACATCTAAAAAAAATTAACAAAAATTCTGTGGTATCTCATGTTCCATTTATATTCAAACTAGAGGCCCAGTGCACGAAATTTGTGCACGAGGTGGGGGGGAAGGTGTCCTTCAGCCCAGCCTGCACCCTCTCCAATCTGGGACCCCATGGAATCAGGCCTAAAAGGGCAGTTGGACATCCCTCTCACAATCCAGGACTGCTGGCTCAAACTGCTCGCCTGCCTGCCTTCCTGATTGCCCCTAACTGCTTCTGCCTGCCTGCCTGATCACCCCCTAACCACTCCCTTGCCAGCCTGATGTCTTAACTGCTCCCCTGTCAGCCTGGTCACCCCTAACTGCCCTCCCCTACCCTGGTCACCCCTAACTGCCCTCCCCCAAAGGGTTGATCGCCTCCAACTGCCCTCCCATGCAGGCCTGGTGCCTCCCAACTGCCCTCCCTTGCTTGCCTGATCATCCACAACTGCTCTCCTTTGCAGGCCTGTTCTCTCCTAACTGCCCTCCCCTGCTTGTCATCTTGTGTCCACCTGGGGGCAGGATCTTTGACCACATGGCAGCAGCCAGCTTGTGTGTTGGAATGAGGTCAATCAGTATATTACTCTTTTATTAGATAGGATAGAGGCCTGGGGGCCAGCTGGTTTGCCCTGAAGGGTGTCCCAGATCAGGGTGAGGGTTCTCTTGGGGCGTAGGACAGCCTGAGCAAGGGGCCTGTGTGGTTTGCAGGCCAACCATGCTCCCCCCGCCCCCCCCCCCCCCCACCCAAGTGGAGGCCCTGGTATCTGAAATGTATTTACCTTCTACAATTGAAACTGTAGCCTGGAGCAGAGCCAAGCCCTCTGCTTGCTCCATGGCTACCACCATTTCTGTTTGGATTTGTTTATCTTCTATAATTGAAACTTTGAAGCCTTGAGTGGAGGCCTAGGTCGGCAAGGGCAGGTGGAAAACTTGGCTTCTTCCATTGTCTGGGAAACCCAAGCCTAGCTCTTGCTCTCTGTGGCTGTAGCCATCTTGGTTGTGGTTCATTTGGATACTTGCTCTGATTGGCTATGGGGCATGGCTGGTAGGTGTAGCAGAGGTATGGTCAATTTGCATATTACTTTTTTATTCAATAAGATTAATTCATTTCTCCCCCAAACTATATGTTATAGCCATTTTCCCCCCAAATCAGGATACATGCAGTTTATGCCTTGAGATACTTTTAATATAAATATTTTTATTGATTCCAGAGAGGAAGGGAGGGGGGGAGGGGGAGAGAGAGAGAGAGAGAAAGAGAGAGAGAGAGAAACATCAGTGATGAGAATCACTGATCAGTTGTCTCATACCTCCTATGCAACCTGGCCGAAACCGGTTTGGCTCAGTGGATAAAGCGTTGGCCTGTGGACTGAAAGGTCCCAGGTTTGATTCCGGTCAAGGGCATGTACCTTGGTTACGGGCACATCTCCAGTGGAGGGTGTGCTAGAGGCAACTGATCGATTCTCTCTATCCCTCTCTCTTCCTCTCTAGCCCTCTCTCTTCCTCTCTATAAAAAAAATCAATAAATATTAAAAAAAAAAAGACTGCAACCTGGGCATGTGCCCTTGACAGGAATCGAACCTGGGACATTCAGTCCACAAGCCGATTCTCTATCCACTGATAATTTAGGGCTCTATATTATCTTTTAATGAGAATGGTTTCCCTCCCACTGCCTTGTTTTATGTGTAAACATACAAAACATAGTTATATGAAGTGTCCAGACCTGTTGTCTTATAGAAAATCTCACCCTCTTGAGTTTGTTAGACTTTTTTTGTGGGTTGGCCTAACTTGTTCCCAGTGTCCTTAATTACCACAGAAACAATGGGGCAGCCCCAGTTGTAGGTGAAGAAAGATACCTACCTCCCACCCCAGGCCTTGACTTCTAACTGTTCTCCTTGGATAGTTTACCATTCCAGGCCATGGCCATGGCAGCATGGGCCAAGATGTGGCCAGTACAGGATATAGACCAATGGTTCCCAACCTTTTTTTTTTTTTTTTTTTGCCATGCCCCACCTAAGCATCTCTAAAATCCTCATGCCCCCCTGTGACATAATAGTTCTGATTATTCAAAAGTAAACTCCTATTCACGTGGAGGAAGCCTAAAAGGCCCTTAACTTGGTCTAAACAGGCTTCCAAAGAACATGGCATTCATGGAAGAGAAAAATAAAAGAAAGGACAGTTGAAGTACTGAGGAACAAATCACTAAGACTTGTTAAAAAAATAATAATAATCATATAATAATAATATGAGGTGATATGAAAAAATAGCAAAGTTTCAAAACATAATAGAGAAAATGCAAAAGTGTGCCACGATATGTTTATGTATATGAGGTCTCTAGAACCATAAGAAATGCAAAAAATTCAGATAATAACTCATTCTCTAATTGCCTCCCTGTGGGGCGTGTGCCCCACTTTGGGAACCACTGTTGTAGATTTTAGATTTGTGACAATTGGGCAAGTCACTTAGCCCTTCCAGTCTCATTTTCCTCCTCTCTAACAATGGGATAATAATAGTATGTGCTTTGTGGGGATATGTGAGCATGAGCATGTTCAGTTGAGGCTCAGCCCAGAGGATATGTCTGGAAAAAGCAATTGTGATCAGCCTTGGAAAAGGATCAGGCAGTGTGTTCAGGTTCCAGGGACTCAAGTGGGAATTAAAAGTAGGCTTTGCAGAGAATTCGGAGCTGAGGAAAGATGAAGTCTGTGGTAAGAGGGGACCATTATAGGAGCCAGCAATGTCAGGGACCTAGGGAATGTCCATGGGAGATAGCCAGGAGACCAAGGGATTTCAAAGGCTCAAAAAAGAAGCCAGGGATGGGATAAGTTAGGGGCTTTATCATGGGAATGGGTAAGATGTCCCTAGGGTGGGGAAGGATAGTACAGTTAAAAGAACTATGGAGCCAGGTGCCTGAGTTCTTTCCCCAGTTCTACCATTTCCTGTTCTACCATCTCTGTGCCTCAGTGTAAAAGGATTGTTGGGAGTTCCAGGTGGTTACAAACCTCATTAGTGCTTAGTGGGCAGCCTAGTACAGGTAAATACTGTACAAGTGTTGGCTGGGGGCGGGGTTGGGGGGTGCCTCCAAAAAAGATGGGGTTCTTTAAATAAGGCAGACACTGGACTAGACATCTGCATCCTCTGACCTCTCTTCTCCCAACTCCAGATGATTTCCGGATCTTCTGTGGGGATCTGGGCAATGAAGTGAATGATGACATCTTGGCACGCGCCTTCAGCCGCTTCCCATCCTTCCTTAAGGCTAAAGTGATCCGTGACAAGCGCACAGGCAAGACCAAGGGCTATGGCTTCGTTAGCTTTAAGGACCCCAGCGACTATGTTCGAGCCATGCGTGAGATGAATGGTGAGTGAGGCTTCCCCTAGGGACAGTGGGTGTGGCGGAGATCTGGCCTAAACCTGACCTGGAAACCTCCATTCCCACAGGGAAGTATGTGGGCTCACGCCCCATCAAGCTGCGCAAGAGCATGTGGAAGGACCGGAACCTGGATGTGGTGCGCAAGAAGCAGAAAGAGAAGAAGAAGTTGGGCCTGAGATAGGGTCTGTGGCTGGGCACCCGCGCCCACTTGGCCGGGCGCTGGCTCCTCCCCATAGTTACCTTTGGAAAACCTCCAATATTCTCCCATCCATCCTTCCCCAAACGAGTGTCAATAAAATTTTGTTCATTTCCATCGCTGGCTGGGCTTGGAAGCACTCTTTGGGGTACAAGGCTTAGCACAAACACCACCTGGGAATAGTGGGGAGCTTTAAGAGTTAACACAGACAGAAATGCAGATGGGCATTTTTCAGTCCCTCCTGAGTTCCCATAACATCTTCTGGAAACTTCTTACGTGCACGCTGAGTGCAGCCCAATCCACAGAAGAGGAAGCTGGGCTATGGCAGGGCTGAAGCCAAGCTGAGGCTCAGACCCATTCTCTTCTGACACCAGCCTGTGTTCTCAGCACCAAGGTAAGGGTTCTGGGCCTCACTCTTCTGGAGCTCATCGCCTTCTAGGCTTTCAGCAAACTTACCCAGAGCTTCCGCACTGCAAGAGACACACTGGTGATAAGCAGTCCCAGGTCATTCCCTCAAAGCTCCTGGTCCAGTGTCAGAAGATAGGCCCAGTACCAGTGATGGCTCAGATGGGTCAGGCTTGGAATGGGGGAGCTTGGTGCAGCCTGGGAATCAAGGAGGGCTTCCTGAAGGAACTGGTCACTTCTGAGACGGTCTCATTCTCTTTCGTCATTCTCTCCCAGTCTGCAGTTCTCACCTTCTGGATCTCTGAGACTGTATCCCAATTTCTTCATTCTGTAAATCCTCTGAGGGTTTCTCTGTGAGTGCCCTGTTTATCCCTTGCTATGCATCTGGATCTCTCAGGGTCAGTTATCTCTGCATCTGTGAGTCTCTCCTCCCATCTCTTCCCAGCTCCAAGCTTGTCTCTGCTGTTTGAAGAAGTGTCCCTGCAGGACCTTGAACACCAAACTAAAAGCTTAAACTTTACCACAAAGGCAGCAGTTGAGACAGTTCACAGATCTGCACTTTAGAAAGTCCTGAGACCACTATGGGCTGGAGGTCTAGAAAGAGGCTGGGGCAGGGATGAAGCAGAGGGAGATTGCGTGGTTCCAGCATGAGGAAGGGATGAGGTTCTCCCAGGAGCATAGTAGTCAGGACCCTAGATTGCAAGGAGGTAAGAGGGGAAGTGGGAAACAATGCCAATCTCATGGAAGCTAGCCACCCGGGAGAGGTGTCAAATTCCCTCTTCCTCCTTTACTGCCCCCTCTCTGATGTCACATTTTCCAGTCTGGTCCGAGGGTGAGGGCCTCCTTCCCCAACAGGAAGTGCCCTTCAGTCCCCTGTCATTTGGGCTTGACCACCCTGAAATACCACCCCACCCCCATATCATTAGCCCTCCCTACTCCTGCCTCTATTGACTAACCACAGGGGCAAAGGAGGGGATAAGGAAGGAGAATATTGCCAGAAAATAGGGTTTTGAAGTGAGAACAGAGAGATTGTGAGTTGAGAGATGGACAAAAATGGAAGGATCGGGAGGGAAGCAGAAAAATAAAAGTATGAGTAGTGTGAGGCAGTACAATGGGACTGGAAATAGGCAGAAGAGAGAGAGGCTCACAAATAGACTTGGGGAGAGTTACTGGATCATTTGAAGCAATTTACAGACATCATAATCACCCCTAAATATCTGTGTTCATTTCATTATAGAGAAATATCACTCACATCTAAGAAAATTAGTAATTCTATATGTCATATTCAGTTTATACTCAAATTTTAAATTTGTCCCAAACTATTATAGCATAGAAGGGCATGGTCTCTGGAGATGAAGAAAGTCTTTCTCAATTTCCTCTTTCCATCAAATAGAGATCAGACTTGTACCTGCCTCATAAGAAAGTTAAATGAAGGCCCATGGCACTATTGGTGACATGCAATGAGCCCTCAATAAAATGTTAGCTATCAGTATTACTGTTACTTATTTTTGTTGTTAATCCTCATCCAATGTTATTTTTTCCATTGAATTTTATTTTTTTAGAGTGGAAAGGAGGGAGGGAGAGACACACGTTGATTAGTTGCCTCCTGCAAGCACCCCAACCAGGGTCAGGGATGAAACCTGCAGCCCAGGTATGTGCCCTTAATCGGGGAATTAAACCGGCAGCCCCCGACTGGGACGGCTATTTCCGTTGTTATTGTTTATTTTCCTAATGCTATTGTTATGATAATGCTCCTCTAGAGCAGCCCAGAATGTCCTCAAAGCCCTGGAAGGGGCGAACTCAAACCGTGGTCCGGCCTCCCCCCATTCCCATCCCCCTCAATCCCCCTATGAATTCTGACGTAGGCAGACCCAGGGTCTGGCCGGAAATCCCCCTTCCGGTTGCAGATAAGCCTGGAACAGCCCAGCTGTACTCAAACCCTCCTCCTCATCGCCACCACTCATTTCGCAGGATTAAGTCCCCAAAATGGATAACCTGTCCACCAAGCCCCCTGTCCCACTCCCATCACCCCCTGCACCCCCCCATTGCCCAGCCTGCTGTTCCCCAAGCTTCTGTCCAAGTCCTAGCCATCCCTGCAGCAAGACAGCCCCAGCCACGAGGCAGGCGGACATCCCTGAGGGGGTGAGGGGGAGGCGAGGGGTGTGTGGCTCAGCCCCACCCCAGCCCCCTGCAACTCGACCTTAGCGTCAACCCCCAGCTCTGACGTCTCGGAAAATTCCCCCCTGCCCTGGCCCCCAGGGGAGGGGATGCATGGTATGAAATGAGGCTGAGACCCCCAGGTGGGGGCAGAGGAACCCACGAGAGGTGAGCCATCGTGAACTGGGGACTGGAGGTCTGGACTGCTGGGTCTGAGGAAAAAGAGGGCTTAGGTCCCTCATAACTGGTATGAGCAAAGAGGCCAAGATTCCAGGGACCTGGGAAGAAGGGAGCAGAGGCCTAAACTACTGTGTCTGAGAGAATCAGGCCGGGGCCCAGATTGCAGGGTCCCTCAGAGTCACCAGTTCACCCTGTGCCTTTCGTCCCCCTGCCCAGCATTCACAAGCACCCATGGACTTGTGGAAGTGGGATGAAGCATCACCACAGGGAGTGTCCCTGGGAAACAGACTGTCAAGGCTGGGTAGGTTTGTGGGGCTGAATTGTGAGTGTGTGTGTGTGTGGGGGGGGGGGTAGATGGAGGGCCTCAGCTGACCCTGACCAGCTCTAATCTGATTGCCTGCAGAAGGAGCTGAGCTTGGTTTCTGCTTCCCTGAAGTGGCACTCCAAGGGGACACACTGACAGAAGAGACATGCTGGAAAGGTGTTTGTGAGCTGAGTCCCCTGGGCACTGGGGAATGTTAGGTCTGAGGAGGAAGGGGTGTGCCTGGACTCCTGGGATTTAGTGGGGAGAGGGCTGCAGGCTTGAGCTCCTGAGGTCAAAAGAGGAGGGGGCTGGGTCCTGAGTCCTAGGTCTGAATGAGTAGGGTGATAAGGATGCTCAGTCCCTGACAAATACGGAGTACTGGGTGAGTGGTTGAGGGGGCTCTCTAGTCACCTCACACTCTTCCCTAAACTCAGCTACATCTTTCCCCCTCGCAGGACTCCCACAGCAGGACTGGAGCTCCGTGTCGCCTCACCCAGAAACTCCATGGGGAGCGGGTGAGTGTGCGGGAGGGGCAGGGAAGGATTGGGGTCTTCCACCATGGCTGAAGTTTACCTTCCCTGGTTTTTTGAGGGAGAATGGAGATAGGACCGGGGACGCTTCCTTCTCGTGGCCCGGCCCAGATCCGGGAGCCAGGGGCTCGGGTGTGAGGGCCCGGAGCTCTGACTTCCAGAACTCCCGAGGGAGCCGGGGCCGGCACGCCTGGCCTCCCCTCAGTTCGGTCCGTTCCTCCTCGCAGAGCACGCCTCGCAGGCTCTGTGGTGGTCAGGAGACCGGCCACAGCGGGGGCGCACCGGTTGGGACGCGTGGAGCCAAGTGTCGCCGGCGCCGGGCCCCGCCCCCTGCGCCGGGTCTCCCGGGCCCGCGGGCCCGCGCTCCGCTGCCTCCGCCGGAGGGACCCGCTTGTGGTCACGGGCCCCCGCCCCCGCCGGCTCCCCCGGCCCGGACGGTCCCGTCGGCTCGGACGGCGCCACGTTCTGGTGTCAGGGCCTCGGCGCCGACCCCTTTTCCGGGGGGGGCCCTGGGGGCTCGGGCTGCCCCGCCTCCTGGGACTGGGGGCCGCACGCGGCCCGCACCGCCTCTCCAGAGGAGTGCCAGGGTTCAGGTCTCACCACCTCCTCTGAACCGGAACCGCAGCAGCAGGTGGACCGCGCAACGCTGGCTCGTTATCCCAAAACGAACCACCGAGGTGAGGGGGCGAGGCTGGAGGGTGGGAGGCGGGCCTGGACGCCGAAGGGGGGGCACCCGGGAGATGGGCGGAGAGGGGCGGGACTTAGGTGCTAAGACCTCCCTCCGGAGTCCGCAGGGAAGGGAGGAGTCAGGCCCTGGCAGTCTTCTAGGGAGCGAGGGACGGACACCTAAGCCACTGAGTTAAATGACAGGTCTCTGAGGCGGGCACCCAAACTCCTAAATCTCCGAGATGGGGCCCTTCTATGGAAGGACCACGGAGGGGGGGATCCGGACTCCTAGGTCCCGATTTGGGAAACCTGGACCCTTGGACCTTCGAGGCGAGGGACGCCAGGCTCCTGAGTTATCGAAATGACCTGGACCAGGGCCCGAACACCTGAATATCCACCTGCCGCCCCCGCAGGTCCCATTCAGCTGTGGCAGTTCCTCCTGGAGCTGCTCCAGGACCAGGCGCGTAGCAGCTGCATCCGCTGGACAGGCAACAGCCTTGAGTTCCAACTGTGCGACCCCAAAGAGGTGGGGCAGTCTCCCAGACCCGCCCAGTCCGCCCTGGTCTCCTCTGGTTCAACTTGGCACCACCATTCATTTTGCCGAGCCCTTGGTCCCGCCCCAGCATGCCCTCAGCTCAGCCGCACTCTGCCCCACCTCGCCTGTGCCCGGACCTCACCGGAACCGGCCCATCTATTGCTAAGCCCCCACCCCCTACCCTCCGGTTCCCACCTTCTCTGACTAAGCCTGGCCTTCGCCCTAGGTGGCCCGACTGTGGGGCGAGCGCAAGAGAAAACCTGGCATGAATTACGAGAAGCTGAGCAGAGGCCTGCGTTACTACTACCGCCGCGATATCTTGCGAAAGAGCGGTGGGCGCAAGTACACGTACCGCTTTGGGGGCCGCGTGCCTGGCCTCGCTTACCCAGATAACGCTGGGGTCAGGGGCTGACAGGGAGCAGCAACCGAATAAAAATATCCGGTCAAACTTCCTTCGTGTGCTGTCTGCATCCTTCTCAATGATACTGACTAGACGCCTAGACCCGCTGGGGAGACTGTGTGCACCCTCACCCACCCAACCCCCCCCCCCCGACCTGTGATCCTAAGTCATACCATGACCAAAATAGACCCAGACCGGAGGACTTACTGTGTGCTCATTGTGTGATGAAACATGCGAAGGATTCTAACTCAGTACCCCCCATAGGCTCTTCTGTGTGCATGCCCTGTACTGGAACTTGTAAAAAAAAAAAAAAAATCAGACCCAATCACTAACTTGTAACTTTACCTACTCTGTCCCCCTTGAAAAAAGGACTGGGGCTCCAAAATGGGCTTACTGTGTGCTCTCACAATGCTAGGGACTGGCAAGGAATTAGACCTACTGCTTACCACCACCTCCCACTCCCCTCCCGCACCCCAAAGCCACCTACTCTTTTCCCACCCAAGCTGGGGAACATAGAACTCAGACCTAGACTCTAAGGAGAGCCTGCTCATTCTGGGAACGACAGAGCCCCTAAAGAGAGCTTGCTGAGTGGTCCTGTGGACAATGCTGGTGATACAGCAGTGACTAAGGCAACTCTGGACCCTGCCCTTATGGGAGACAGACTCATTACCAGACAGGGACAGCCCAGAGTGGTCAGGGCTGGGATAGGAAAACTCCAGGGTAAGGAGGGATCAAAAGGAGAAACTTTACCTTGCCTGGGGAAGAGGTCAGGAAAGGCTTTCTGGAGGAAACACACACACACACACACACACACACACACACACACACACACACAGAGCTGATTTTAGAACATCAGGCAAAGCATGTTCCAGGCAGAGGCCTGAAGGTAGGAGATTTCATAGCACTGTTCAATAAACTGAAATACCACTGTGGTTGGAGAGGGTCAGTTCACAAAGAATCTGTGGGGCCATGCTAAGGAGCCTGGGTTTTGTCCCGAAGTCACAGGGGAGCCATAGCAGGGTTAAGCATGGGAAGGACTTGGGCTTAGGAAGATCTTGTTGAAAGGAGTGAATAAAGGCATATAAACAGGTAGTTCCACAAATAATTACAATGTTGATGGACAAAGAATGTATAAGAAGCCCCTGACCCAATAAGGTCTGGGCACTGCACTCAACACAGTATATGGGAGGGTTGGAGGCTAGACCAAGAGGAGGATGAAAGCAATTCTTTCCCACAATTCCTTTGTCCAGTCCACATTAGGCGCTTCATTCACACAAGAAATTCACTCCTTCAACAAATATTTATAGTGTACTTCCTATGTGCCAGGTGATATATCAGATGCTGGACATACAATGGTAAGACAAAAAGTTACGATCTTTTATTACATTGAGGAAAACAAAAGAAGGTAAACACAATAAAAGAAAGGATGTCATGTCTGAGAGGATACGTGTTATGGAGAAATAAAGTAGAGAAGGGAGATGGAGGCTGACAAGATGGCAACTTCAAATACTTAGTCTGAGAAGGGCTCACCAAGAAGGGGACATCTGAGCAAAAAACTGAAGGAGGTGAGGCGGGAGCCAGCTGTGGAAGAGCATTCCAGGCTAAGGGGTGACAAGCACAAAGGCTCTTTGAAGGGAGCCAGTCCACATCTGTAAGGGCCTTTGAGGCGGCCAGCTCCCAGGCTGATGCAGTGAGAGTGAGAAGGGTAGGAGATGTTGACTTAAAAAGGTAAACTGAAGCAAGCTCAAAAAATTAGTTTATTCAGGAGTAGAACAGGCAAAATGTAGCAAACTATAGGCAAGTCCAAAGAGACAAAGGGAAGGTCAGCTTTTATTAGGTTTTAGGAGGAAATTGGGGAGGGTGGTTTTGAGCAAAAGTCCATTGGAGGAGAACAAGAGTTTGAGGCTGCAGTGGTTTCTCACTGGCTGCAAGCGGTGGCAAGTGTGTTATTGTTGGGCAGCAAGGAATCTTTTTTTCCCTTCTCTCTTTAGCAAGACATAAAATTCCCATGTGAAAAATGTCTCCTTTGTCCTAACCGGTTTGGCTCAGTGGATAGAGCATCAGCCTGTGGATTCAAGGGTCCCAGGTTCAATTCCAGTCAAGGGCATGCACACCTCCAGTAGGGGGTGTGCAGAAGGCAGCTGATAGATGTTTCTCTCTCATTGACGTTTCTAACTCTCTATCCCTCTCCCGTCCTCTCTGTAAAAAAAGAAAAAAAAAATATATATATATATATATTTTTTTTTTTAAAGAAAAGAAAAATATCTCTTTTGAACTAGATGAAAAGTAACACAGACAAGAAGTTGAAAAACAGACCTTGTTAAAATAATTCTTGCCTGGGTGGCGTGCATGGCTGTGTTGAGAGTCAACCTATGAACCAGGTCACATTCTGATTCCAGGTTAGGGCACATGCCCAGGTTTAGGTCTTGATCCTCAGTGGAGGGCATGCAGGAGGCAGCCTCTCTATGATTCTCTCTCACCAATGATGTTCCTTTCTTTCCTTCTCCCTTCCTCTCTGATATTAATAAAAATATCTTATTTGTCTTTTTCATTATGTGTGATGAGAACTCTCCCTTCAGGATTTTCCAACTCCATTTTGAATAAGATTTTATCAGTTTTTACAGAGATGAGGGTAAAAAAAGGGGGGGGGGGGCAATTGTGTACGTCATTTGTAAGGAATTTCAGGTTAGACTAAAAGTCAGACCAGACACCAGGGTAGGGCTCTAAGTTAAGGAAGGGGAATAATCTGACAGGTGTTAGCAGGGTCCCTCTGGCTGAGTGGACTTGATTGTGGAGGGCAGTAGGGAAGCCAGGAAGCCAGGGAGTGGGTTACTGTAATAGTCCAGGCTGGAGGTGCTGGTGACTTGAACCAGATGGCAGAAGATTCTGAGTATATTTTTATTTTATTTTATTTTATTTTATTTTATTGATTTTTTTACAGAGAGGAAGAGAGAGGGATAGAGAGTTAGAAACATCGATGGGAGAGAATCATCGATCAGCTGCCTCTTGCACTCCAAGGTACAGGCCCTTGACCAGAATCAAACCCAGGACAGGCTGACACTCTTATCCACTGAGCCAAATCAGTTTCAGCTCTGAGTATATTTTTTAAAGGAAAAGCCAACCAGAGTCTAGATAGATCAGTTATAAGGCATGAGAGAAAGGCATCAAGGACAACTGTCCAGAAGGATAGAGTTGTCAATTTCCCAAGATGGACCAGTTTCTGCCAGGTCCTTCACAGAACCAAGTTTTAATTCTTAACCCCTCCTCTCCGTGATGCAGGACTGATTTCTGAGTCCTCAGCCACCCAAATCTTTCTGTGTTTGGAAGTGGAGTCCCAGCATTCCTCTTAACATGACAAATGACCCTGCGAGAAAGGCTGGTTCTTTTTCAATACCCGAATGATTTGACCTCCTAATAATCTAAGGTGGCCAGACGTCCCGCTATTGGTGGGACAGTCCCAATTTTTAACAATTTGTCCCACGTCCCGAGGCATTTTTAAAAAACTCCCTATTTTTGGGAAAAATGTACAATAAGCTAGGGAACTACAGGAGAACAGAAAGGGAATATATGGTTTTCAGCGGCCATGTGGCTATTTAGCCAGGATATGAGTTTTATATTTGTTTATTTTTGTTAATTTTATAATGTTAAACTTTAATAATAACAACAAATAATTGTTGAGAACTGATTATCGAGAACTGCTTATCAAAGTTCGCATTTTTGATCAGTTGTTAGAATTGTGGAATACGCTCTGTCCTTACCAGGAACTAATGCTGCAACTGAACACTTTTTCTACGGTAAATAAAGTATGGACATCAGAAAAATCACAATTAAGTGTTGACACTGAAAGCCATTTTATGTGTGAAATATAATTTAACAAATTCTTGTGAAAAATATCATGACCTTTTAAACGACAGCAATCTCCAGAAAAAAATTCACTCAAATGAGAAATATGCCAAAGAATGAAATACTATACATAATTTTTATTTATTATACTTATAAATTGTACTTATATTGAAATTTTAAAAATCTATTACAATACTATTTTTGCATTCTATGAAAATTTTTGTTGCTCCATATAGACCAAATTTTTATTTTTTAATTTTTTTAATTTTATTTATTTTTTAAATATATTTTATTGATTTTGTACAGAGAAGGGAGAGAGAGTTAGAAACATCAATGAGAGAGAGTCATCGATCAGCTGCCTCTTGCGCACCCCCTACTGGGGATATGCCCGCAACCAAGGTACATGCCCTTGACTGGAATCGAACCCGGGACCCTTCAGTCCCCAAGCTGACGCTCTATCCATTGAGCCAAACCGTCTCGGCTAGACCAAATTTTTAATCAAGAACCGCGCCCCCCCCCCTCCGCCCCCCAATGGTGTCCCGCTTTACCAATGTTAAAATCTGGTCACCTTATGATAATCACAAAGAGGGTATGGGTTATTTTTTGTTCAAGGATGCATCCCCAACCCTTACAAGAATACCTGACACTCAACAACAATCTTGCACCAAAGGAGTACTTCCGCTTGGGTATTTCCCCAGGCCCACTCTCCAGCCAGCAGCGGGACCCAAACAAAATTGCTTCCCCCGGGGAAAGCCAAGGAAGCGAGGAGAGCCTGTACCAGTCGGTGCAAGTTCATGATTGGACCTGCAGAGTTGATGGACAGCTATTAGTCCAATAGAAGATTGGGGCTCTCATGAATGGGTGTCGTCTTACTAGCCTCAGGGACCGCCTTTCCGAGGGCGCTCTAGCCGGGCGAGACTCACTTATCCCACCCGGCTTCCGGCCCGTTTCAATTCCGCTTCCGTTCAGACGGAGGAGTCTCTGCTGAGGTCACATTGAGCTGCGAGCAGCTTCAGGGGCGTCTTTAGGTGAGTGCCGAGGGTTCGGGTACCCGGCATCCCGTCCTGGGGGACTGAGGAACCGGACGCTAGCTTCCCCGAGAACGAGGTGAGGTTTCCGGACGGCGGTGTTTGGCCTCCTACGGGGCCTGGGGTTCTGCTGTGTTAGTA